GGGTGACCTGGTGCTGGGCCAGGTGTAATTGACCATCATAGGGTCATGCTCAGGGATGAGGTGGGCAGACAGAGATGGGGTTCCACAGGGGTTCAAGTCCGGAGAGCTGATTCTTGATATGAGAAGCTTGCATCCAGTATGAATGGATGTCCAGTCAGCAACATATCTGGGAAGGACATGGTGAAGGGCCACCAGGAAAGTGTAGTACCTTTCTTCAAAGCGGACTTGTTTGCATAAAGGGACAGTGAAATAGTGAATTTTGTGTCTAGACTGGCAGGGGCAGGTAATAAATAAAAAATATGACTTGCAACAATAAAAGGGGAAACTAAGTATTATGAAGACAATGTTTTCAGCTTAAAAACATAGAAGGAGATGGGCCAAAGAATTATAAAAACAGTAAAGGAAGGCATAGAGGAGGAATTTGTCATATAACATAACATAACAGCATAACATGACATAACACATAACCAACCAACCAACTAAACAACAACAACAACAACAACAAAACTAGCAGCTGAATTACAACTGATCCTTTAGGACACAGTCCCCGACTGTCCCCCTACCCCCGCAAGGAGGGGTCAGCAGGGTTATCTCCCTGCTGATGGGCTCCACTGCTATTATTGCTGCCCTTACCCTGATAGCCTCCAAGACCACTTCATCCTCTGTGGTGCTTTGAACCATGAATGGACGCAGAGCTTTCTGAAGGACGGTCCTCAGAGCACACATGGGCCCAGGCTGGGGTATTTAGAACCACTTGGCAAGAGGGAAACAGACACGAAGAAGACTGCAAGTCCAGATGCCTGGCACAGAGGCCGGGCACAAGCCTGCCTTTAGCATGTGGCCTGGGGCAGCCGCACCTCCTTCCTGGTTGCAACCATAATCTTTAGTAAATATGAGACTATGAGGGGCCTGTTGGGGATACCATGAGTGCTTAAAGCTCAGGACAAAACAAAGAGATTTAGTTTTCCCTTCTACTCACAAGGTCTGGATGCTTTAAGGACCCTGGACAACTAAGAATGGGAGTGACATTCCCTTTGGCAAAACTCCACCTAGCCCTTCAGTGAGCCAACCCTTACTACCTACTCAGAATTACAATCTCAGAATACAGCAGAGAGAAGACAAAACTCGAGAAAGAGCAAGACACACGTGCCTGGCACCTAGGCTTGTTTTCCGGGTGCAAAGCGTTGTCTCCTGCCACCTGAGCTCCAGATAAGGCCCACTCCACTCCGCCTTTGGTGAGTGATGCCGGTGAACAAGCTTTTAGTTTAAGCTTAGATAATAGATGGAAAGTTCAGTGAGTACCAGGGGCTGTGAGGAATGTGGTTCTGTCCTTGGGGAGCCCATATTGTTTCCGGGAAGACAAGACCAACCCACAGAAGACAGCACCACAGCCTGAGCAGAGATGTTTTGGCCGAGGTCTGAAAGGCAGGTAGGTGGCAGCAGAGCCAGGGTCTGGGACGTCAATCTGTGCACAGCTGAGGAAGGCCAGCAGCATACTATGAAGGCCTGGGTCCTACACTGTGCAAGGGGTTATTGTAATAGAAAATTGGGCCCCTGCCCTAGACATTATTAGAGTCTGGAAACAGTCCCTTATCAGGTTCTTAGAAGGAAGGGCAGGCTCTAGTGTGAGCAGGGTCTCTTGCTTTTCTGAGAAGCGGGCTGGGAGAAGGTGACTGCAACAAGGGCTGGTGACAGTGCTGGATGGGAGTGCTCAGGGGTGATGGAAGGCTCCTGAGCATGATGGATTGCTTCCACAGTGCTGCAACCCCCTCCTGCCTGCAGGGAAATGACTTGAAAAATGTATAAGAATTCAAACTGCCAAACTGTGTTTGCTTGGTGACTCTTGTAGCTTGTGAGAAGTCAGCTCAGGATGAGCCTCTGTTCTCCTGGACAATTATGCCTGGCACATGTCCGCAGACATCTCACTCACAGCTAGCCCTGAGGGGCTTGGGGGCCATTGCAGCTCCTCACCCTGGCATTCATAATCTCGACTGCCCACCCTGACCTCTCCAATCTTGCTTCCTAGTTCTCCCCAGTTCCAAACCTGTGCAAGCCAGATTGGCTTCCTTACATTATTCACTGGTGCCCTGAATGGCCACCCCTCTCTGTGTTCCTCTCCCATTCTACACGGTGCAGGCTTCACCTCGCACCTGATTCACCTCACACCTTTCCCCTAGGGACCTGACAACCTCTCACAGTAAGGGTCAGCCTGCTTCATCTATAGTGAGCAAAGAAAATCCGTTAAATATGGCTCATTCTAGTTTGCCCTACAAAGCTGGGAGAGGAAGCTAGACGAGAAACACACCTCTGGGACCAGTGGTGGTTTGCTCGTCCCTGGAGAAAGGTATACTTCCAGCTACAAGGCTGCAACCCTGGCCAGGGGCAGAAGAGAGAGCAGGTCCTAAGATGGTTGGTCAGAGATGAGGGCTGCCCAGTGGAGGAACAGAGTGGACTGGTATGCTGGAAGGAGACAAGATTCTTCTCCAGATCTGGAGGCTGGAACAGGGATGGGAGGAAAGCACTCTGACCACTGCTACACATATCTGAGAACCTGGAGGACCTGACTACGATATGAAAACCTGCTGGGATGATGGCCGGGGAAAGAGACCTACTGGCTGACTACAGGGGGTACGCTGGAGGGAGGAGGAGGATCAGTGCAGAATCCAGGGTCAGCTTCTGCCACCGAAGGCTGGCTAGCTTAGGCAGGCAAGTCTCTACTAAGAAGATGATTCTGATGTTACACATGCTTAAACCACACAGCAAACTGATGCAGGGGGTTGCTGCTTCCCTCTTTCCTCTGTTCCACAGAAGGTTATACTTCTTACCAAGGTCTCACTCACCATTCATTTGTTCATTCAACACTTGCCAATCACCTGCATTGTGTTTGGCCCTGTGTGGGCACTGGAGACACAATGATGAATATGTATAGTCTTTGCCTTCAGCAGCTCACTGTTCAGAGCTGCAAATAACATCATGTGCCAGAGAGTAAGTGCCCCACAAGTTCTTCACATACAGAACTGAACATTATTAAAATGTTTTCCTTTGCATATATTTAACACTGAAACAAGCACCAGCTCTGTTAGAAAATTACATTTAAATATAGGTACAAAAACGTAATCCCAAATCATTGGTGCTTCATTTATCAAAGACAAAAACCATTGGGACCGTTTTCCAGATATGGCTTTGTTTTGCTTTTCAACTTAAAATCCCACTGTGAGCTTATTCCATGCTTGGAAAGATTTTATATTTTTTTCCAGGCCTTCTCTTCAAAAGCTAGACCTTTAAAATAAAACAGGGTGAGTTCTTTAATCAGATAGCTTTTCATTCATTCATTCATCATTATTCAATTATTCATTCATTCATCCACCCAATGACTATTTCTTGAACACCTACCTTTGGGGCCAGGCATGCGCTAAGCCCGAAGAATTCGGTGGTGAATGAGAGAGACTGAATCCTACCCTCAGGTCCTTATGGTCTAATGAATTATCCCCAACCAGAGCTCAGGCTCCCTGAAGCTGGAAACACACTTCTGCACTCTGGCTTGTCCCTCTTTCTCTATTTCTTGTTTAATCCTAAATGGACAGACACGAAGATGTCTGTACCTGTCCTTTATGTCTCATATGTCTTACCTGTGGCTTCTCTACTTAGTTTAAAGGCACATGACTGTAGCTCTGTCCAGAAGTGGGTTTAATTACCCCCTCCCATCTTTCTAGTTGAAGGATTAAGGGGGATAGTTCGTGCAGAAGAGGGCACATTGAGAGCTGCCTTCTAAGGGGAGTAACCCCAGGTGTCTCTGCTTTGCACCATGAGGTCCTGCCAATCTGGCTCCGATGAATCAGATTCGGAATAGATGCCTAAATAAAAGGCAGCCATTCAGAGTCTGACCAGTGACCTATATGGTGGTCTGAAATCAGTTTGCCCTATAGGGATGTGAGTGACTAACACAGCTAATCACACCCTCTCTGGGAATTTAAAAAAGAGAGAGAGAAAGAGAGAGAGAGAGAGAGAGAGAGAGAGAGAGAGAGAGAGAGACAGAAACAGACACACACACACACACACACTCACTCACACAGAGAATATAACAAGGGGCTTGAAGCTTAAAGACACACCAAGAGAAGGCGGTAAACAGAAGACCCAAAGTGGAAGACTCCATGAGGCTCCATGAGTTATGAGTAACCAGTAACCTACAGCAGCATCAACACATGACGCAGAAATAGGAGCAGTCAAGCAACCAAAACAGTGGCAGAGATGAATTCTAGCATCCCCGCTCTGCCACTGGAACTACTGATGTCACCACTAAAGCTATTGTTATTCTACGAGCCATGCAATTCTCTGTAAAATGCATCTATGTGGCTAGCCTTGCCCCTTTGCTTTTCCTTGGCTCAGTGATAAACCTCCACATCTAAGAGTAACCTGAACCTTTGTTCTGTCTCTGCATCCTAAAGGATCTAAACGAGCACAAAAATCCATCTCCATCTAAAAGCCATTACTTCTCCATTTCCAGAGCCAACATTTTAGAAACCCCTTAATCCAGAGGCTGGATTCTGGATCTCCAGCCTCTGCCTAGACACCCTCTGCACAAACCCAAGGACCATGGCGCCCTTCCCCGAGTGCTGAGTGATGATGCAACACTTGATATGTACGAGCCGGACTCAGCATCCTTCGATAAAGTGAATAGTCTTGCTGGCCTTTTCTGCTGAGCACCGTGAATAATTACTATCGATTCAAAGGAGTCACGAGATTTGGGACAGGGTACATTGAACAAACTGGGCACATGATGTTAGACAAGTTGCCACAGACATTCTCAGCTGTAAAATGGGGGTAATAGATCCCTTAGGAGGCGTGAGAATAAACGAGGTACTCCATTTCTTGCAGCAGAGTGACTGCACTTTAAAAATTCCTCTAGTTATGTGTTGCGATGAACTGAGAATAGGTCTAGCACCTTCTGTGTACCAGGCCAAGCTGCCTTCACTCCGCAAGATGGACAAGAGCAGGCCTACCTTGCCAGCCAGGCTTGCAAACTGGCTTCACATCCACCTGCACCAGGGTGTCCTGAGCAGCGGGTTTCTGTCCGCAGTCGTAGGCGGTCACCAGGATCTCATATTGGTGTTGCTTGTCATAGCTCAGCTTCTCGGTGTTCCTGATGTTGCCTGAGGACACAGAGATATTCGAAATCATTTCAGATGGAGTTAACCACACCGTAGTTTTCCAAAAGCCCTCCTCCACTCCTCTAGCCTTCACCAGAATGAAATGACCCCCTTCCCTATCTCTTCGTAGAAACAAAGGCAAATAGGGACATGGCTTCCCCATGTGGACTGCTTGTGCCTTTGTGGCAGATTCCCATGATCCATTGGCTGGAGCCACCCGAGCTGCAGGATGAGGAAGCTAGGGAATTCCAAGCATACATTTGGAATCCAACTAGTTTGGGTTTGTCAGTACTAGGTTGTTGGAAAACTACCTCTTCAAGTGTGCCATGTGGCTGCTGCATCCCTGATGTAAGGTGCATTGAGCTCCTCTGCCATGAAATCTCTTGGAAAACGATGGAATTCAAAAATGTCCTGACACATTTTTTAACCTCTGTGCTCATCGCCAGGAATGTTCAATGTCTCGTCTCACGTTATTTTGCTACCAAATAGGAAATAAGATCAGTACGAAAATGTGCGACATCCTTTCCAAAAGCTATACAGAATAACAGATTTCTTGACCTGGTGGCAAAGACATTTTTCTTTTATGAGCCATTTGTGTGTCTTTATTCCCATGGGTTTGATATGATTCAGAAATAAATACTTCATGATTAATAAGCAAAACTTTAATTGACTATTTTTGCTGAAATACAACTTGGTTCCAAAAAACTCGTATAGGTCCAACGTGCGTTTCATAGATTTTAGTTTTTGATTCCAAGAGATTAAAGTCTTCTTTTGTTGAGAGTAATTTCATTCTTCTTTCTTTTCTGATGGTGGAGCTGACAGCAAATTAGAACTGAAATGTTATTATCATCCTTTACCAGAAGTGAAATTAAGAAAATAAAAAACTCCAAGAAGAAAAAAAAAAAACAACAAAAGGGCTGACTCAAGCATATATTTATATTTCATCCTAACTAAGAAAAGACTATCTAATGAGCTTTCTTTCATTCCAACTGATATATGTTGTTCACGTGAACAGACAACAGGGACTTAGGCAGGAAAGCTTGGAAAATTAGAAGTCACGCAATGTTTTAAATATTGGAAAAGCTGATCCACCAATCACCCAATATTAGTTAAACAGTACTCGGTATGAGACCATGAGCAGGTACTACAAATATCAGTATATGTGAAGGGGGGCAGGAGGAGCGTGTGGAGGTGAGTTCAGACGAGGAGGGATGAAATTGCCCAAGACACTGGACCAAGCGTTAGAATCGTTTGTTCTGCTGCCCGCTCTGGATGGTTTCTAAAAATGCAACTGCACCTACGGGTTTGAAGCAAAATTTACTTTAATAAAGCCAGTCAAAAATCTCTGGAAAAAACAAATGAATTTGATATATTTTTGGCCTTGTGGCCCGTGTTCAGAATCTCTTCCATTTTTTCCCCAAATATTTGTTTTGGTCTCAGCTTGGGGGCCGCACAGGTCTGGGACAGCTTAGCATTGGGTTGATCACATTCCCTGCAGCCTCTGTTAACAAACTAGTTTGTGGTTATAGTTATCACAGGTGGGGAATTCTGTCAGGTGGAGGCAGCATAATATAACCACAAGAAGTAGGTTTCAGGAACATCAAATTGAATTTTCAACAAAAAGTTTTAACTTTCTCTTTCTTTAAAGTTAATGGCTCTCAAAAGATCCATTTCTTAGAGGAGGAAGGCTTAGGGTTTACAATCCGTGTGACATTAAGCAGACCAAACACTATTGATTGTGGTAGAAAAATAAACACACAAGCCTGCAATCCTTGACTCAATTTGTTGCAGTGCCTCTTCCGTAACTGTCTTAATGAAACTGTCTGAGAAACTAATTTACTTTCTCCACCACCACACCTTCACGCGTGTAAGAATGGGTTTCAGAGCACAGAATTTGCAGCATTAGGTCAAAAATGAGAGTATAAAACTATGACCAACTCTTGTATGGGGGAGGGTAATATTTGGATAAGGCATACATTTAAAATTTTTTGTTAACTCAGGAGAAGCCATCCATTTTGCTTTTGTTACAATTGGATATTTTCCCCTCACATTTGAATGGTGTCTCCTTGTAGCGCCTTCTCAGGAGACCTGAGTCCACAGTTAACCCAGGTGAGCAGCTGCCCATAGGCCTATTCCTCTGTCCAAATGAAACTGGGAAGCTATCTCTCAAAGAACAATCAGTACTTACCTTGCATATTGGTGAAGGTAATTTTTTAAAACTCAAGTGGGGTGGGGGAGGAGGCGTGCAATGAGACAAGCACAGTCAGTGACCTGCATGCACGCTCCTTCTGATGGAATTTAAATTGGAACAACCCTTTTGGAAAGCTATATAGGCCAGTCACTTTGCAATTATTCATACCTTCTGGGCATGCAATTCCAAACCTAAAAATTGATTCCAGAAAAATGATAAAAATTGCAGATATTTATTGCAAAAAATTGCAAATACAGATGCACATATGATCATCTAAGCATTATTTATTACATTGAAAAACAGTAAAGAAACCGCATGTCTCATAGTAAGGGAAGAGCTAAGTATGAGAGTCTGTGTGTGAGATGGAATGTTGTTCAGCACTAAAAGTAGTAATTGTAAAGCGTTTTTAAGGATGGAAAAAATCCGTATACTACAATATTAAGTGAAAAATGGAAGATAAAAGCAAGAAAAGTATGGCTGTATATTTATTTAAAAACGTCATAGAAAAACTGGTAAAATGTCAGTAGTGGTTGTCTTTGGTGAGATTACAGGTGACTTATTTCCTTCATACTTTTCTATGCTTTCCAAATTCCCCACAAAAGGGCAACGTGTTAACTTTTCTATTCGGGTGGAAAAGAAGTGTCTTCATTTACTTCAAGAATATGCAGACTCTAGGACACATTTCGCTCAGAGGTATCAGAGCCCCATTACGCACCAGGGCAGCCTGCTGACAGAGCTTAGCTGAGGCTGTGTGAAAATTAAACAACCACTTGAAAAGTAGAAAGGTCTGCCACTTGGTGCCTGGGTGTCATTGAGACTCCTGCCACTCCCTCTGAGGCCATTCTCTAACGTGGTTGAGAACTTGGTTTGTGCCCACACTGGTTTGTGAGCACCTTGTTTGCAATACATCCACCCCCTTACACAGGCAAGATATTTAACTCTCATTTTACCAATTAGGATCTGAGGCAAGGTTAACGTAACTTGTCAAAGATCGCACATACACAGACACACACATGATGGATTTAGGATTAAGACACAACTTTGTGTTTTTGAACTTAAATACTATTGCCATGCATTCCTGTCCGATATCACTGAGCATAGTGATAATATCACTGGTGGAAAGTCCTTAGGACCAACACTCAGGGAACCAGGGCTCTGGTCCCAACTCTGCCACCAACGTGATGAGTGCTTTAGGTAAGCTCTTTATGCTTTAGGACTCGGTTTTTCCATCTGTTCAGTGGAAACAAGGATCTAGGTCCTACCGATCTCAGAGAGACCAGCCAAGAGCCAGGAGATGGGGTCCTGGAAGCCCTCTGAAATTAGTTTCCCAAGAGGGAGTTGATGTCATCAGCTCAGAATTACCTGCTCATAATTTCAGCCTGGAAATCCATGGGGAGTGAATAACCTTCATGTCCCAATAACCAGGTAAATATCTAAAAATCATGACACCATGAGTCAAGCACTCCCTATATTTCAGGTACCCTGTGAGCATTATCCCTGGGCACTGCCTTTCCCGGATGCCTCACAACCCTACAGTGAGGTAGGGACTGTTACTGCCATAAGCCAAGGACCTCTGTTAGAAGAGGTTGAGTCTTGAGTTAAGACAGGTCAGGATGACTCCACGTTATGTCTTCTGTCCTCCCTGCTCCCCTGCTCCCCTGCTTTCCCCTATGAACAAAAAGCCTGGCAAGTTGGAGGGCCCGGGAGCTATCTACTTGAAGCTATGAGGCCTCACTGAGTGGGCTCCAAACTCAACAGTAATTTCTCTGATGTGTACGCAAAGAACTTATTCAAGGAGCCTGTAAGGTCACCAGAAGAATGATGGATAAGGGCCACCTGGGAAGCTCATTAGATTGGGAGCTGCTTTCGTCTCTGCTCCTAAGTCCTGCCTTCATTACTTAAACTGCTTTTGTAAACCTCACTGTTAGGGGCCTACACTCCCTGGGAGTGCCCACTCTCCTCTCCATCTTATGTTGTAAACCAATATTGGAGGCAGAGGCCTGACAAAGAACCATTACTCACTTTTAATGAGACAGCTAGGGAAATAAATTGGCATATGTTAGTGAAATGGCTCATCAAGGTGAGTAATTATCTTCATGACTGGGCAGTGTACCCTCTGATGAAAGGATTTGCATTTCGTCTCTCATTGGGTTGTAGCTCTCCTGAACTAAAAGCAGGAGGTCAAAGGGAGCTTGGCTACTAATCACATATAACTACATTTTTCTAGTCTTGATCTTCATCATGTCACTCCCCAAATTCCAAAGCTTTTGTGGACATAGACTAAACAGCTGATCATACAGGAACAGAAAAATATAAAGCAATTGTTTTATATTTTATGGAATGGGGGGTGTGTGTGTGTTTGAAGTATGTCTGTGTGGTGCGACAGGCCGCCTGTCTGTAGGAAAAGCTATCAGAGAACAGTTATGACATGCTCTACTAGTTGAAATTGCTTACTTCTTAGTCCTGAACCAAACTTTTATTGAAGTCCAGTATTTTCTCCTTTACTTTTTTGTGCACTGATCTTGTGTCTTACATAATTAGCATCCAGTGACGTCCAGGTGTTTAACTGTCATTTCCAGGTGTTTTACCATTTTATGAAGAAAATGCCTTAGTACTCTTTTGTCTGTGTGACGAATATTGGTTTCATCTTACAAGACAGATCGCAAACCACTGGAGGTCAGGGTGAGGGTTTCTCTTTGGCTTCCACTGGCTCTGGAATCTGCTACAGTTCTCAGGATTGAAGAGACAATATCATAGGATAAGTTTCTCCCTGGTCTCAGCATCAGGAAGTACTGGAAGCACTGAAGACTTGTAAGCAGGTGATTGACAGTAGGTATTTCCCTGTAGGCATTGGCTACCAGGAGGCTCAGAGCTAATTCATTGCCCAACCCTGGTTCACTCCATGCTTTACAACTTCACCCTTGATGACACCTGACTTTCTTTTATTTTCATTTTATCCTCCACTAGATGGTAAGCTCCATATGGGCAGGACTATGTCTGTTTTGTGTTCTGCTCTATCTCCATTCCTAGTTCCTAGTACCGTGCCTGGCATTCAATAAATATTTAGAGTGGATGAACTTCAGGTTTTGCAACTTTTGTGTCTTTCTGCAGTACTTAAATTCTATTTGAAACAAAATGAGATAATATACATGTATCCACACACTCATGCTAATAGTTAAACAATATACTTGGCAAATATCAAGTTATTAAAAATTACAGTTAAAATGGGCTGAGTTGATTTGGTCTCTGGCTTGTGGTGTTTACATTACAATGAATTTTTAATTAATGGTGATGGAGAAATATCCAAATGGCTTTATTGGGACTGTTTTTAGTTCAGTAAGTTCAGTTTGGGTTTGGGGTGTGGTAGAAGAGTTCTTTTATCCTTCATTCTCACTAGGGTGGAAATTCTCAAAGGACATTGGTAAGAGCTTTAAAGATTTCTGAATGGATCCACAGCTTAGGAGAGGTTTCAAAAATGTTCACCTTCTCTTTTAGTGTCTCTTTGTCTGAGAGCAGTAAGTAGATTGTTATGGTTGGAGTAATGTTACAACCGATTATATAGGAAAGGGACTCAGATGTGGCCAAGTCGATGGTATGACTCACGTCTGAAAGACAACTGGAAAATTCTACTGGAAAACCAATCTGTCTTCAGCATCCAGATGTGTGACATTGTGAGTTCTATCGACTGTATTCACCGAATAGGTTTCTGAGGTGTCTTGTTTTAGACTTGGCTGGGCTGCTCGTAATGTCAGGCCATCCCCTCTACTGCAGGATTGAGTTCCGGGTTACAAAGTCTAGATCAAGGATGGCAAGGGAGGCATCATCTGACAAGTACATTCAGGCTCCCACTTGGCCTTTAGAATAAGGAGGTGGAGTTGTTTTCCTGACTCCCATTGGGGTCCTCTCAGGATACTCACCATTTCTGTCGATGGCGAAAGGCACATCAGTTGTGACAATTTCGTAGTTGCAAATCTGGCTGTACTGGGGGGAGCAGTCCTCGTCAACAGCCTCCACCTGTAGGATGCTGTCATAGATCTTGCCCTCTGTCACGACGGCCTTGTAGGCTGGCTCTTTGAAGGTGGGAGCAAACTCATTGACATCCTTCACTTGAATATGGACCACAGCCCTAGAATCCACACAGAAAAAAGAGATGGTGGTGAAAAAATAATCACACCGTCCTCCCACACCTCCTACAGGCACTGCCTCAGGTTCCAAGGCCAAGAGAATGGAGAAACCACAAGCCGGTCAGGGTGGTCGCTGTTCGAGTGTTCTGTCCTCCCTCCCTTGGGAGAACCTTCTACCTGCCCTCACCCCAAACTCCTGCGATGAATCCACCCCAGACAGCCTCCTCCCCATGCTTTGACCTCCTTATTACCCAGCTTTAGGCAACAGCTCTCCTCTTGATTATCTCCCCTTTCCCTTATTCATTCTTTCACTGGTTCACTCACTCCTCCATTCAGTAAGAATTTAACTGCTCTTACTCTGTGTTAGGCTCTGAGCCAGATTCTGTAAGGGAGAGAGTTACAATCCAAAATGAAAAGTGCTGCGACCGAGAGAAGCGTGTGGCCTGGCGGAAACCCAGGGAAAGGTCTCCATCAGGTCTGCTGGGGTGGGGTGGCTCAGGGAACGCTTCCCAGAAGAAACGACACCTGTACTCACTTCTGAAAGTGGAACAGGACTTCAAGGGAAGCAGAGGGGTAGAGAACTCTAGGTGTAGAAAGCGGCCGGTGCTGATGCCTGCAGTGGTCTGGGGAACTGGCAAGCAGTTGAGCAGGCTGGAGCAGCACGGTGTGACCACTGGGTACACATATCTGAAGAGCAGTGCATGAACAAAGACGAGTTGGCAAGAGTGGAAGGGGGTCCAGAAAGCTCTGTCAGGCTACTCACTTGTGTGATTTCTTCCAGGCTGTCTCCCGGGGCCCTGCGCCACAGTCGTAGGCCTGGATGATGAACGTGTACTCCTTCTGCAGCTCACAGTCGATGGGGCTCTTGGCCCGGAGCCGGCCCTCTCCTGATGTCTTGTTGAGCACCACGGCCTCAAAGGGCAGCTCTTGGCCATGTATCTTGAATGCACAAATTTCCCCTGCAGAAGGATGAAAGAAAGTGACTGAGGATCCTGAGAACTGCCAGACTGAAGACAGAGTTCTGTCGGGCCAGATTTGCAAACTCATCACCTCTAGGCCATTTCCTCCACACAGAGAACTGTCAAACTCAAAGAGGCCTCCAGAGACCCAGACCAACATGTTCATTTCATGGATGGTAAAACTGAAGTGTTTCACACATGGAAATATCGCCTATCAAGTATATCCAGCAGATAAAGGGGAGAGTCATGTGCCAGGGAGTTGGCTGATGATCTGGTTTGCCACTTTTCCTAGCAGATTTCCTGCTTGCCCTCTGCTCAGACTGAAAGTTAGGACAATCAAAAGACAAATGACTGCAGAGGAAAGGAGAAAAAGGCCAGGATGTTCACAATCTTTTGTCTCATGACAACAGCCTTGCTACCTGAAAGCGTGCTCTGTGAGCCAGCAGCAGAGCATCCCCAAGAACCCGTTGGTAATACAGAGGCCCAGGTCCCACCCAGACCTCCTGCGTCACACTCTGCATTTTAACAGGGTCTCTGATAAAACAATAGCAAAGCAAGATTTGTTTGCTTGCTAAATATGAGCTGCACTGTTCTTCTCTGTCCTTTCCTCCTGATTGAAACACCCCACAGTTGCTGCAGTCACATGCCCCCCCCCCACTCCTTTATGTCTCTGCACCCATCACTTCCCTGTGGGGAGAGGGACGCCACTCTGAGTTGCCATTTTCTCTGGAAACAGTCGGCATGAGTCTATGTGAGATCCAGAATCCCCGTGGAGCCTGAGAAGCTAACTTCTTAAAGGGCTGCACATGTTGTGAAATTAATGCGTTTCTCCCCCTCAGCTGGTTAATGCGTATTATAACTATTTCTCTGCATTAAAATATAACGCCGTGAAACTTTCTTCCTTGTCTCAATTAATGGATATTTATTGAACCCGGACTGCAAGTAAGCCTTGTAGAGTGTGCCTTGGGAAGTGCTGGAAAATCGAAATGTGTTCTCTTCTCATTCTGAGGGAGTTTACAGATTTGTTGGGGAGACAATGTCTAGATGTCCATTCAGAGTGACTGTTCAGAGTGAAAAGGGGTGCGTGAGCATCACGTGGCATGGCGGCAAGGAGTTCAGCTATAGGATGCTGGGGTGTAAAACATAGATAGACTCAGAGCCCAGAGTTCCGTATTCACATTCCAGGTTTGGCCACTTACTCGCTGTATTAGTCAAATTATATTGATGCTCTGCGTCTCAATTGTGTCATCTGTAAAATGGCCCAGAAGATAGTGTTGCGGGGAGGGCATCTATGCTGAGATGCCCCAATCTTGGTCTGACATTGCTCCTGCTGCACTGCTCGGACCAGGGTGCAGTGCCTAGCGTGCACAGTTTAAGGGGGCCCTCACTCTCAGGGTGACCAGGCACCTGTGCAACTGTTGTAACGTGACAACGAGAGAACAGATAACATGAATGCATGACTGCTCTGCGCCCAGCACCCTGTACCTCTACCCAGGTGACCGCAATCATTCTTCATAACAAACTTGCAAAGCAGATGTTTGATACTAATTTGTACAAATTAAAGAAAAAAGAATCAGAGAGGTTATTACTTGGTCAAGCTCACAGAGCTAAAGCTGGTGTAAAACCCAAATATGGCTGACTCCTAAGGCCATGCGTGTTCTGTTCCATTGCACATTCTCCAAGCAGCTCCACAGCTTCTAAGGGACCGCTGTGGGCATTGCTTCCAGTAACATGCTATATTCCTATTCAAGCCTCATTCAGGAGAGAAATCCCCCATTTTACACATAGAAAGCGTGCACTGAGATGGTCAATCAATACCGACCTTACCTTTAGGCTTTTGTTTTTTTATTATTTCATTGATCCTTAATTTCATTATGAACACTCCATTTTTACTGTAACCACCCCCCCCCCTCAGCCATTTTTCAAATGGAGTTGTGGACTAATGGACAAGATAGACAGGTCGTGGGCCAGGCTCTGACAAGAAGGCTGGTTCCCCACTACACCGCTGTGGCTCAGGATCACCTGATATCTCTGCATTCCCCTCTCTGATGAGGCTACTCCACAGCCTCAGGGCCAGAGGACCAGTTCCCTCGGATCCTCAAGTTTAATTTCTGCTCTGAATTGTCTGGGATTAAATAAATAAACTTGTAAAGTGCCTGCCTTATGAGGCTATACCAGGATCAATGCCAATATAAGAATATTACCCGCGAATGTATCCAGACTGGTTCTGGGGCATTCTCTAGACTGCCCGACCACTGCCATAATTACAAGACCAATCAGACCATTTCTCTTTGAAGAGTCCACTTAAACCAAAGATAAATGAAGGTAATTTTCTGTTGGAAACCTTTGATTACAACTGAAGTAGTTCTCAAGACTCAGAAATCCTGAACAAGAGGAAAGAAGAGGAAAGGAAACAATGAAGGAAAGAGGAGGGACAAGAAGAGACACAGGTGAGGGTGAGATAAATTCAACCTCAGGGCAACATCGCTAAATTCAGTCCAATTCAGTTCAATGGAACCAGTATTCTCTGAGAGCTGACTAAGTGCCAGGGACTGTGCTGGGCCTGGAGGCACAAAGATTTGACTTGGACACCTTAAAACATAAGGATACCCTATCTTCTTCAAGTAGACAGTCAAATAAACAAGCACAATGCAATGCTCATTTAGTTTTCACCAGCTCTCAGATTGAGACAGGATGTGGCACCATGAGAACACAACATAGAATTCACGTCACCCTCAGTTATCCCACCTCTTCATCTGACACTCGTGTTCTGGTTGCAAAGATTTTGATTCATTTCTTCATCCATTCATTCACCTTATAAATATTTATTAGGGTCTATGCTCCCAGCACTGATGAAACGATGATGAACAAAACCAGACCAGTCCTGGCCTATAAGCTGCTGCCAGTCTGGTAGGGGAGGAAAATAAGCAATCAGAGAATCACATATCTAAACGAAGAAAGGTGATTGTGATACATGATTGAAGGAGAGCTACACAGTGCCAGGAGAGTTCTGACCTAGTAGGCAGCAGGGAGGGCTCACCTAAGAATGTGACAGCTGAGCCGAGATCATAGTAAGAAAAAGAGGAACACACCCAGGCCACAAGGGAGAAAACTGTTTAAGGCAGTGGGGGTGGCATGCCATAGGGCCCTTAAGCAGGAAGGAACATAGTCAGGCCAAGGGACTACAGGGCCAGTGTGGCAGAAGTAGAGGCAATGGGCAGGGCCGGCCTCATGGCTTCATGAGTATGTGGCCTGAGAACCAGACAGGGCCCGGGCTCAAGCAGGTCCTGAGCTTGGTTTAAATCTCTGCTGTCGCCATCTTGAAATTGTTAATAATTTAATCTTTGAACTTGTGTTTTGTAAAGGAAGTCTGATGAGATAATGGAGCATATTGTGAGCAGAGGAGGTGGGTGCAATAGGCACACTCATTGTCCTTACTGTCCCATTTACATATAGCATTCAAGATGCCACATGAGCACAGAATTGTGGTGGACCTAGGATGCATGGGAGTTCAGCAGCACTCAGAGGATGAACAAGGTAAGCATGTGACATCAAGGACTAAGTGAGTGGGGAGCTGACAGCCCTGAGAAGATACCCCTTCTGTTCAAACCAAAACTGTTTAAACATAGAAGGGGTGTTTTAAGAATCATGATCAACCAGAGCCCTGTTGCGTCCTTTCATATTTAATTTTTTTGTTATTTATTATTATTTATGCCTATAGCACCTGGTCTTCCTAGGTGGTTTCCCATCCAAGTACCAACCAGGCCCGACCCTGCTTAGCTTCCGACATCAGACATCAGGCTTGTTCAGGGTGGCATGGCCGTAGACCATGGACCATGCATGGCTCCACTGGGGCGCGAACCCATGACCTTCTGTGAGTAAAGCAGACGTGGTAAACGCTACACCATAGAACCACATCCTGCTGTATCCTTTCTTACTTCTGTCATTTCTCTGTAGTAGCCAGCCACTTACATGGAAAATGATGACAGAAAGGAAAAGGAAAGATAAGACATCCCATAGTTCCTTTTCTTTGGGGCTGTCTTTGCCATCAGTAAGCCAAAGGTAGAGAGTGTTAGGAGAATATGCATATATCAAGAAAAAAAAATAGTGGAGTTCAGTTTGCGTGGCATTTACATTGCTCCGGTAAAGAACTAAATACATATGCATACATGAGCTACAAAATGCAAATTCTGTAATTTTCAGAGATTCTGCACAGCAGTTAAATCTTCCTATATTTGCATTTAAAACTGGCATTGAACAGTATAAATGGTAAAATTCATGCTAATAATTTAAAATTTTTATTTTTCTTTACTCAGAATGACATCAAACAGCAACTTTAAAACACAACATGTTGCGGGGAGAGAGAGACAAAGACAGAGACAGACAGACACAGAGACAGAGAGAGACAGACTGTGGAAGAAAGGGCCCGGGATGGAGTCCTGAGGAGAAAGGATATTTAAAACTGCTGTTCCCGGTGCCACTGTGTGACACATTAGGCTGTCTGATCTTTTGGGAGGCCTGCCACTAGACTTTGTTATTATTAATAAAGCACTGCTGTGGGAGGATGATGTACTTAAAAGGAAAAGATCAGACTTAATGGTTTCCATAAAAAAAAAAAAATCGCTTTTAAAATTTTGCTTTCCAACATGCTTTCTTGGGTGGGAGAGCTGGTGTGCCAGAAACTGTAAGTGGGAGCGTAACACATAAATGAACACACACTTTGGACCAGCAATGGGCTCTGTGGGGAGACGAGGCCAGCAGCATAAGGCTGCAGAGCCTCTGGGTGCTGTCTTACACTGACTGAGACCTAAGGTGGCTGAAGGTAGCTTCACCGGGAACCCCCATGTGGGGCCAGGTCAGAAGGTGAGCTCCCAATATGCCTGATGGAGCACAACGGCTCCATCTCCATAGTCACCTGTCTGCATCTCACAATTACCTTTTCCTCTTTAGTAACATATCTCCCAACACATCAGCAGAAATTGGTGTAGTAGTTTCTTAAT